TTGGACTTCTTTTCTCCAGTCTGAATTACAATACTTAGTTAGACCATCTAATATGTTTTTCTGGGCTTTGGCAAAAAATTAAATAACTCTAAATTTGTAACTATGTAAATAAATAAATAAGGGGGTTTTTGTGCAAATCGTTTTGTATTCTCTTTCTCATTTGGATTAACCGTGGTTTTCAGTTATCCGTGCCCCCCTCTCCCCCCTGATTACCTGGTTAATCGAGGTTCCACTGTTGCTATACCAGCTGATCATTATTTTATTATGATTGTTTATGTTTTGATTTTACAGTTTAGTTTTCTGTTTACACCTTTAATAAAATGAGTTACTTAAATTATCTATTCTTTTATTAAAACACTACAAATGGCGACGAGTGATGAAAGAAATGATATCAGAAGACTGAAACATGAAAGAGGAGCACTAAAATGCCAGATTACAAGAACTTTACACCTATTAAAAAGTAAGGGTTCATCACTCTATGATGCTCCTGGCAGATTAACTGTAGCAGAGGAAGCATGGCATAAATTCATCTCACTACACGAAGATATTTTACAAATAGAAGATGAAGATGATTTTGAACAAGAAGAAGATTACAGGGCTGATGTAGAAGAGGTATATTTAGAGATAAGAGCATTGTTACAGCCATTCTTTATACCGAACAAATCTACAGATGAACACACAACTTCTATATCAGTTGAACACGATAGTCATGTACCTAACATTAACTTTACACCTTACACAGAGAACGAAACATTTAAAAACTTCTTGATGAGACTTGAAAACTATTTTCAGTTAAAGAAAATTACAGATGAAAAGACCAAGACATGTTTGTTTGTCAGTACACTTTCTCCAGAGATGCACCAAACATTGTGTGATACAATAGCTCCTGAGTTACCAGGTGACAAAAACTTCAATGAACTGACAGAATCTTTGAAAAATTGTCTTGAGCCTTCACCTAGCATACTAGCTAATCAACATAAATTTGTGTGCAAGGTTCAAGAACCTGGAGAAAACATAGCAGTATATGCTAGAGAACTTAAACGTTTAGCAACGGACTGTGATTTTTATTGTTATAACTGTGAAAGTACGGTAAGTGATATGTTCTTAAAAATGCAGTTCATACGGGGGTTAAAAGACAATGAAATTAGAATTAGACTTCTTCAAGAAAAAGATGGTAAAATTTGTTACAACAAAGTGGTACAAACTGCGATTTCCATAGAACAATCTAAATCGGAAAGTTATGAAATCAACTTAAAAAATGGAAATTCAATTCTAAAAGAAACTGCAAACATTAACCACCTACAATCTGGATACAAAGCCAAACTAAGTCAATTTAAGGGAAACAAAACTATCGTTTCATTTGAAGATTTGAAAGGCAAGTGTTACAGGTGTGGCAGTGAACAGCACAAGGCTAATTTATGCAGATTTAAGAACGAATTCTGTAGGAAATGTAATAAGATTGGACATATTTCTAGGGTTTGCTTATCTAGAAGTGGAACTGATGTAAAAGCTGGGAAGAGCAAGGAATTAAAATCGAACTTAATTGATATTGAGAACGACCATTCGTCGATCCACGAGGTTTATACAATGGGATCAACTTCATCTGGAAGTGATAAGTTTTTAATAGATGTGGACATTGAGGGGAAGAAGCTGAAAATGGAACTTGATACAGGAGCAGCGTTAAACTCAATATCTTACAGCGATTTTCAATCACTACATGTAAATAAACGTCTTTTCAAAACCGCTGTTGAAATGAAAACATATACTGGTGAAATCATCAAGCCTCTTGGAGTTTGTTTTGTCGATTGTAAATACAGAGATTTTAATTTCTACGGAAAGTTGTATGTCCTGAGACAAAAGGTTGAGCCAATATTTGGAAGAGAGTGGCTGAGAGAAGTAAACATGGATTGGGCAGATGGCAGATATCAAAGTGGTTGAAAGTGATTGTTCAGAAAAATTGGACAAACTACTGACAGAGTTTCAAGAAATTTTCACACCTGGAATCGGGAAAATTACATCAGAACAAGGTCACATAGAGTTAAAAGAAGGAGCTAGACCTATTTTTATCAAACCTCGACAAGTTCCTTGCGCATTGAAGAAATCAGTTGAAGAAGAACTAAATAGACTGGAGAGTAATGGAATACTATCAAAAGTTGAAAATTCAAAATGGGGAACTCCTATAGTTCCAGTAAGAAAGGCAAATGGAACCGTAAGGATTTGTGCTGACTACAAAGTGGCCGCAAACAAACTTATATGTGACGACAAATACCCAATCCCGCGAATTGAAGATATTTTTTCTAACATGAATAAAGGTCGACATTTCTGCACATTAGACATAAGTAATGCTTATCTACACCTTCCGATGGACGAAGAGTCTAGAGAAATACAGACCATAAGTACACATCTGGGACTTTATAGAGTAAATCGAATGATGTTTGGCATAAAAGTTGCACCAAGTATTTGGCAACGGTTTATGGATAAGGTTCTCCACGGTATGGAAGGTAGGCCTACAGTTTGTTTTTTTTAAGATATTTTGATACAGGGGAGCACTATTTCAGAGACATTAGATCGCCTACAGAAAGTTTTTGGAAGAATCAAACAGTTTAATTTGCGCTTGAATCGTGACAAATGTAAATTTTTCCAGAAGAGTGTAAAGTATTTAGGACACGTCATAGACGAAAATGGCTTACACAAATCTGCTGATAATGTCGAAGCTATAACTAAAGCCAAACGACCAGATGATGTACATCAGCTAAGAGTATTTTTAGGTCTAGCCAACCATTACACACGTTTTGTACCAAACATGTCCAGTTTACTGGAACCACTGAATGGTTTGTTACGGCAAGGAAAGAAATTCATTTGGACTCAAGATTGTGAAGATGCATTTTTGAAAGTAAAAGCAGAAATAACGAGTGATCAAACCCTAGCTCACTATGACCCAAATGAAACATTAATCTTAGCAACAGATGCAAGTCCCACAGGGCTAGGAGCTTGCTTATCACATAGGTACAAAGATGGATCTGAGAGGCCCATTGCGTTTGCATCATGATCGCTTACAAGAACAGAACGCAAGTACAGTCAGATAGATAAAGAAGCTGTAGGAATTTACTGGGGCTTAAAGAAATTCTTTGCATACTGTTATGGAAGGAAGTTTGTCTTAATAACAGACCACAAACCCCTTGTATCCATCTTTAACCCAACAAAGACCTTACCATCTATGACTGCATCGAGGATTTTTAACTATGCTCATTTCTTATTGGGTTTTGACTATACGATTGAATACCGAAGTACGACACAACATGCTAATGTGGATTATTTATCAAGATTTCCTGTTACAGAAGTATCAAATGTATGTGACGATCATGAGCAGTATCTAATGAATCAAGTAGAGATGATGCCTGTATCAAGAAGACTAATTGAAGAAGAAACCCAAAAGGATGAGGAACTCAAAAAGGTATACGAACATCTTATATCAGGTAAAAGCTTAAAAGAAATTGGTTTGAACGATAATGAGTTTTGCTTACAAGATGGTTGTATATTCAGAGGTCATAGAATTTGTGTACTTCCACTTTACACAAACAAGTCTTGGAAGAATTACATGCTGGTTATATGGGCATGACAAAAATGAAATTGCTAGCAAGAAGCTACTGTTATTGGAGAAATATGGATCAAGAAATTGAAGCTATGGTGAAACATTGTCATTCATGTCAACAAAAATTGAAAAATCCACCTAAGGAGACAACTCACCCATGGGAGCTCCCAAACGGACCTTGGGAACGCATACATATTGATTTTGCTGGTCCACTGCGGGGTTGGTGGTACTTAATCGTCGTTGACGCCTACAGTAAGTGGGTAGAAATTATACCTACAAAGTCTACAACTACAGCTTGGTGTGTTAAACAATTAGATAGGTTATTTACAACCTTCGGGCTTCCTCATGTTCTGGTATCAGACAATAGAACTCAGCTAACTTCAAAACCCTTCAAAGATTTTCTCATGAGGTATGGAATACTACAAAAAACCATCGCTCCCTTTTGTCCCAAATCAAATGGACAAGCTGAAAGGGTGGTCCAAACTGTGAAGAGCCTTATAATTGCAAATGGATGTGTCGAGAGCAAGATTAACACTATACTAAAACAGTTGAGAAAAACACAGCATTCCACGACTGGGAAGTCTCCCTATAGCCTCATGTTTGGGAGGAATATAAGAACAGAACTGGATCTATTAGTAGAGAAGCCTAATTTGAAAGAGACAGAGATGCAAGTAACAAAGCGACACTTTAATATAGGAGAGGGGGTGCTGGTGAGGAACTACTCCCTTAATTCAAATGACAAATGGACAGTTGGAAAAATTGAGAAACCAATAGGAAATGTTATTTATCTTGTTAGAATGGAAGACGGAATTGTGTGGAAAAGACATGTGGACCAAATAAGAAGATTGTAAATATATGAAGAAAAATAAAGGGGGAGGATTGCTATACCAGCTGATCATTATTTTATTATGATTGTTTATGTTTTGATTTTACAGTTTAGTTTTCTGTTTACACCTTTAATAAAATGAGTTACTTAAATTATCTATTCTTTTATTAAAACACAACAACTGTATTATAACGATAGCCATTAGCCATTCCAAGTCACCCAAAGAGTCAAGGTTATGCTATAATAACTGTATTTTAGACAAAAATCAAAAACTACATTGGTTTACAGTATTTTTTTTTTACATTATTTTTTTTTTTTTTTACTGTCACGGAGACTAAACGGCTTTTGAAACATACTTTGACACAGTTGAGCTCAAAGTATTTGTGTTAGCACTCAGAGTTTATGTTATTTGGCATCCCTTTGGTCTCCTTGGGGGGTATAGAATACTCGGAAAAGTTTGATTTTAATTTAAAAGCCTATAAACATCATTACATTATACTAGTTTTAACAGTTTTCACTCTTAAATTATGAACACCAGTTTTTATTTGAATAATAGGCTATTTAACTCTTAGTAACACATACCTAGCATAGACAGCCTTGTATTTGACTAGCTGAGGCAGGGGCCGAGACTGGGACGGCTTGCTGTCTCTGAATGGCCGTTCAACATTGTACACCTGTAAATCACAATGAATCATTAGCAGGTTAGAAAAGTTTTTATTTCACAATCATTTACCAAGTTATGTTCGGATGATGGAATTAAGCTAATTTGATTAGGTAAGTTGATTGATAGACATTAATAAATGATTCGTGGGTGTGACAAATTGTGTGAAAACGGCCGTAGTGGAGTATCACTGCTGATTGCGAGGACGGTAAGGATTAAATATATCTTCTATAAGTATAAAAGAGGATGTTTGTATATATATATATGGCAGTGATAAACTCAGACACCGCTGAACTGATTGCCACGAAACTTGGTACATACGTATAGAATTTCATGGAATAGGTTTATACACCATCAATTTCGTGATCCGTCCAATCGGCTCCGCCCCAGTGGCTCTGGAGTTTCCCATGTTAACCTTATGAGAAATGGAATTAATGAATCTTAACAGCTGTTTCAATTAAACAAGTTGGTTCTGTTCTATGATGTTCAATAGCATTAAAGTTACAAGGATTACCAACAGGGTGCAGCACTATTATTTCTTTTGCAATAAGGGTGATTGTGCTGCATTACTCCGAGAGTGGACATAGTTCACTGAAACACTCAAAGGTAGCAGCACTGCCTGGATCTGTAGGGTCTTTGTAATGTGGCTCGAAGAGAGAAAACCCCCAAAACCGGAACAAAAGCATTGCCAGACGGGATTTTACGGGAAATTTTAGGACCAATCTACACCAGAATAAAGCTCACATTCTAAGTTTCAGGCTGGCAACGATTATAACGTTCCCCGGCAATAGCTGAGCTCATACTGAACTAATGTGGTGGGAGTGACGCGACTATATCAATTGAACGTGTTAATTGACAAAAACACCCTGCATTCCATCATTCTTTTCGAAACCATAATATAACTAAACAATAGAAGAAACAATGCTGCACTAGCCATGTTACCGAGACAAAGGTCAGATCACGACCAACTAACTCCCATCTTCAGTCGAGTCTCAACACACGTCTGGCGTGCCTCCATATCCTGCCCGTGCACGTGAAGCAAAAAGTAAAAACAATGTTAAATAATGGTTGACCAGTGTTCATGTATTTTTGTGTTGTGAACTTTCTACGCACCTCTTCAAGAAAGTTTAGTTATTAATTATACGAAACCAACAATGGCGCTTGCACCGAAATGTACACAATCCACCTGGAAAAACTTTGGACAATTAGTGGTTTTAACCTTATTACCAAATTTTATTGTTGTCAATTTGTATTGCTGTTTTCTGCACTATTGTTAATTTATATTAATAGGTATGTACTGTCGTTATTTATATTGTTATCATTTTATACCTTATGTCATTCACAACATATGCAAATCTCTATCTCTCTCTCACTATCATTGTAATTCCATCATCATGTCAGCTGCACACATCCATATTATGATTTATTCTGCTTCTTGTTGCATGTATGTAGTTTCTTATATATCTTTTTTGCAAAGTGGTGGTTGCGGTTGAAATAAATAAATCTTCAACTTAGTTTCTACTAGCATTTACCTGCACTGCTCTGTCCTGCAGCCAAGTGACGATGTGCTGCACCTGCTTGCTGAGGAAGGGCCAACAGCTGGCGAGGAAGGTAAGGTCACGCGAGCTTATCACAATGCTGAGCCAGTGATAGAAGCCTCGGGCCTGGGCGTCACGTACGCTGAATGAGATTGACAGGGCACAGTTGGGCGGTTCACAGAATACACAAGGGTTTACCTGCAAAAATCATATTCTGGTAAACCTCATAAACCATAAACCTTGAGGGGGTAGATGATTGATTATGCTGTTGATGATTGATGACAGATGACATCATACTTAAGTAGTCCACACAATCAAGTACCTCGTGCCCTTTTTTATGAGCCATGGTAGACCTAACTTACTACATTCACCCAATAGCTAACATTTTCACCCATAACTAGTTTTAGTTTGCATGTTTAAACTGCTAACCATCATTTTCTATGATTTACTGGTGTTAAAACACATTGACTGGGACGATGGCGTTGTCCTGTAATCCAGCTACTAGGATGTCACGAATTGTGGATATTTATAGGCATGCACTGTGGATGCAATACTCCCTGGTGTAGATTAACGTCCGCACTAGTGAGAGTACTACGACTATCCGTAGTACTATACTTATATATTATAAGGTTATAATTAGACCAATTTGTTAATACCAAGGCAAAAATCTGGTTTGGATTCAACTATAAACTGTAGGTCCCTTAGTTGCCATTAACTGTATGATTAATTAACAGCTGTGTCTAAGAATATGTCAGCCTTATTCACTAACAAGACTACAAGATCGTGCCACTCATTCTAAACTGATCTCCATTCATACTTCGCTTAAAATACCTACTTTGAATGGTCGGCATTTCAATGAAAATTAATAAAGCATTGTATCTGTGGCTTTTCATTTTGATTCTTTTTATTATTATAACCACACCTAACCTAACCTAACATAGTTGCAAATTGTAACCTAAATAGGATTTAAGGATGAGTGTAGAATGACATGAGACAACTTGTGTAGCTTTACTGAGCTTTAAGACCTAACTTTTTCATTAGCCTAAACATTTATTAAAAGCCCAATGATCAAGGACAGTTTGGAACCATCAAAAAGCTACTAACCTTTGTAATGGTACAAATATAACGAGATCAGAAAACTAGCGTTCATACAATTTCAAATGTCCCGCGCGGGGTCATTAGTTCTCCAAGCGGCCACGCACTGAGCTAGCGTCACGACCCCTATAAAAGCCACGCAGGACATGGGACAGTCAGTCGAACGCTGGGCGAATAGCTAGCTACATCTCTCCCTGGTAAGGGGAGTGGAGTGCATCGCGAAACAATAGGGCAAGGGCGGAATAGCCCGGTAATTGAACCAGTGGTGGAATAACTCTGGTAGCGTTGAACACTAGGTGTTAGGCCAAGGGCGGAATAGCTCTTGGATCCGTATACATCGCGAAACCATAGGTCGAGGGTGGAATAGCCCGGTGAATGAACCAGTGGTGAAATAACTCTGGCATCGTCGAATACTAGGTGTTAGGCCAGGGCAAATAGGCCGTGGACCCACGATTTAATCGATTCGGTTTTTTTTTTAAGCGTCATTGGTTTTAATTCTAAAAGTGAAACACGGTATCCATTAAGTAAAGATTTGTTTTATTTTCGAAGTTAACAATTTCATTTAGTTACGACCAGTATTTCACTCACGGAATTTACACCAATTACCTATTCTAAATTTACTATTTTTTTTTTTTTTTTTTATTAAAGCTTAACTTGGGCAGTGATGAATGTGTCAATTTACTGAAAGCTGATGCTTAAGGACCATATCTGAGCCATTTAAACTAAATACTATTAGTATTACTACAAACCCTGGACTTACTCAATTAGATTAGCTATCCGAGGCCAACAGTAGACTACAATTTTGTACGAGGACAAAATTGCACCGTCAAACCTTTCTTAGGATCAAACTGATAAACCATGTTCAGCTAGATTATTAAGTGTATGGATGTTATTGCTTAATCAGATTTCAGTCTAATTCTGTTTCTTTGGAGAATGTACCATTGTTTGGTTATTTTTTAATCATGCTGCATCAACAAAGATCGTTGTTCTTCCTGCAAATACTCTACAACTTATTGAAAATAATGTCTTCTTGTTAAAAGAAATAGTTGATGAAATGGTTTCAAAATACTGGATTCCCATAAAAGAGTTGTATCAGCTTGACTGTCCTTACTCTCTAACACTACTCTCGGATTAACTGTCAACCTTAATACTTACTTCTATATCCCTTAAATGCAAATGCATAATTTTTGGGTACCAGTAGGTATGGTTGGATTTGTTCTCAACACAAAACCGAGAAAATCCAACAAATAGCTTAAATATAGCTCATATAGCTTAAATAGCTCCATAACAGTAAGAAATTAAACTACTGTAGAAATAGAAATTTGGACTCATTACTTCTTAGTGAAACATCAACCTATTTAGGTCTATGGGGATTTATTTCAGTCAGATTTAGTAGCTGAAAGTGCTGGAATGATTAATTAAGGAATGGTTATAAATATTGGCCTTGCCTACTACTGATTACACCCTTTCAAAGTAGGCTATATTTCCCAGCAATTTAAACAGCACGTCTCCTCAACTAGTCCTGGGCCTAGGCCTACAACCTTCAAGTTTGTAGGCCCTACTCCATAGAATAACAATGTTTCTACCAACAGAGGCTATAGCAGAGCTCACCTCACAGCTGAGGCTCCGGACACACACATGACTGAGCCACGACACCAGAGATTGACGCTGAGCTGGTAGTCTACAACTGACATATCGAGTGCCAGTCATTCTGTCTGTACTGATGTACCTCTCACCCATGCAGCATGCCTAAATAGATAAATTAGGTTAACTTAAGATAAGGCATTAACTATTTAGGCTAAGTTACTTTCTTTTTTCTGAAAGTTAAGCTAATATAATAAATATTACTGAACACACTTACAACAGATAAATAATTAATAGAGTGCACAGAATGTGAAGCAGGCAAATATTGGTAAAGGTATTAGACCTACTCTAGAAACTGATGTTTCCATATCTTTGGGCACTCAAAACATTTTATATTTCTGCCACTAACTTTTAAGTCTAGCTTAGTCTAACATTTGGCTACAGGTATGGTAGGTACTGTAAATATATCAGTATTAAGGGTTTACTATTATCAAATATATATGGATCACTATTAATTAAAAGGATTACAGGGTCAGCGTTACTTTACTCGCTCGTGCTAACAGTTCAGACACCGTTACAAAAATAATATGATTTTAAGTTTCAAACTACAGTTAGAAGTCTCCCTCTTATCCCGACACATTTTAACCGGACTACACTCGGCGAAAATGACATCTCCCTACCTCCACCCTCCTCCCATCTACACTGCTCACGCTAGGCTATGTGCCAGCTGAGATGTCACAAGCTGTAATATATCATTCTTCTGTAATATTATTATTTACCCCATTAAGTTAAATAACGCCCACCTCTACTCAACGACTAGCCTAGTCCAAAAGCCGTGGACAACTAGCATGCCCTTAGTTTCTGGTATAGACACTAACTTAGTAAGTAACTTAACTTAGATTCAAATGTAACGTTTCTTTTTTGACTCAGTGAGTTCTGGGTTTAAGGCATATTTTGCTTGGAGCGACTGTAGCGATAGTCGCACGGCGATTATTGCTCTATACAACTATCGCTGTTACGGCGGCCGTTTTGCTTAGAGTGATTGATTTTCGGTCGCCGCGCGATTTTTCATAGTTAGTTGAATACCAGCACTCACAATGGTTAAGTCATGAGTGCGTGTTGTAATTTTTTAAAGTATCTCCTCAGTGAGGAGTTAGAAGACGAGGCTTTACTTGACCCTAGTGGAAGTATCAGTGGACGATCGATAGAAAATACATAGTGATACATAGGATTTGGGACGGATATGTATCACTAGACGTCACTAGATAGGATATAAATAGAAAACTGTAGTGATATCAATTAAAAATATATATATTTATAGCCTATCAATGAAAAAAAAATAGTTAGTGATATCAATAAGACTACATGAATGTCGGAAAATAAAACCTGGAGTCTAAATAAAAAATATTTATTCATACAAAAACTGATACAGTAAGAACTTAACAGTTTAACACCCACAACTAAAAAACACGTATAGTTAACTTGGAACAGGCAAGCATTTTATATTTCAATTCGAATAGACGAGGATTAGCCTACATGTAAACACAACCATTTGAGCAATGACAATGCAAAGTTTGCTGGAAATAAAGAGTCGCCTGTTTCTCCTACAATTTAATGTAAAAAATTAAATGAATGTGTAAGGAAGGTATAACCAAAACAGTACAATCGTAACAGCACAAGAATAGAAAAATTAAAGTGAACAAAAAAGTAAATTATGGCTATTTTAATCCATATTAATGTGCCTACTGAGTGAACTGGACTGTTTTGAGGTTCTGCGCATGTGTCGCTGCGAATCAGTCGTGGCGCGATTATCGCAAGACTGGTACCCAGAGCAGTGGTCCGCGACTGTAGCTAGCGACTCTTGCGACAGTCGCTCTAAGCAAAACAGGACAACGCAAACTCCGTTAGAACAGTGCCCAGTTACTATCGCTGCAATCGCTCCAAGCAAAATAGGACTTGCAACTGATAAGCAGAAGTCAATTTACTATAAAGAAGTATTAACTTACCTGACACGATGATTCATTTGAATTTACAAGTTCCTCGTCTTGACTTGAGGAATAACAAGTCTGAAGGACACTGGGTCCATGTTGGTCGCAGAAGTGGCACAAAGATATTACAAAACTCATAATGTATCCTAAAACAAAGAGGAATAGGCCTAGCCTAATTATTGGCATTAGATAAAATCTTAACACTCTTTACACTGAAAACACCAACTTACCCTCTAGGTACTTAAATTTAACCCACAAATTGTGTAGATGATTGTTACCAGCTTTAATTACACATTTTATGTTAAGGCCCAGACAAAATTACTAAATAAAAAAGTCTGTGACCATATAACGGGTTGGGGGATAGAAGGAAAGCCGATTAGAGAGCTATTAGTAGTGATTTGCAAAATTTAATGGGAAGAATGTCGAGTTGGCTTGCATTTATGTTAAGGCCCAGATGCCTAAACAAAAAGGTCCGTGACCATACATGTAATGGGGGCACAATTATCAGATTTTTCAGCTGACGGCGTAGCCTAGCATAAACATAATGTTCGGGTACAGTTTCTTAACTGGGCTATGCTTACTTAAGTAATATCGATTGAAAATAGAATTGAAAATATTGATTAATAATCAATAATTTTTAACTTAACTATATCAATTATAAAATGAAACTGAAATAACCTAACCTATTTAACCAAACTTGCTGATAACTAAAAAATCTAAGTAAGGTTCACTAATTGAATCGATAGTTTCAATCGATATTAGCATAGCCTAGTTAAGAAAGTGTAACTTACCCTTATAGGCTATTCATCAACTGAGGTTAGGAATCAGCCTAGGCCAATCTTAACAAAACACAAACTAGGAACTTAAGATAAGTTAGTTAGATAAGGTAGCCTATTTCGTTAATCAACTGATTTCTTAACAGTAGGCCTAAGTTACCTATTCAGTTAATCATAGTTTCAAATTTCTTCTAATAATATGCTGCTAATAACAACAAACTGCTTGATAATTAAAAAAATACCTTCTTGGTCTTGCACAAAATAAGAACTTCTTTCAAGGCCATGCAGGATGCCTGCAAATGTAGCCTACTTTACTTATGGGGCAAGTTACTTAGTTACTCTTCTAACCCTAACCTAAAATCCCTTATCCCTTTAGAAACGTATACTACTAACAGCCAACAAAAATAAAAATGAAGTAGAAGAGAAGACCTCAAGAATTCACAAAAATTCGTTGTGTTCTAGATTTTTTTATTTGATGTCAAAAACAATAACACTTTGTTTCGTAACGATTTTGAATAGTTTAACTTATATCTATATCAAAATCTCATGATGGTTTTGTTTTTGACATGACATCATTGACAATGAGAACCTGCAACGCAACTGACACTACTGAGTACTGACAGTGACACTGGACAGACAGATTAGAGAAGAACAAAAAGAAACAATGTACTATTTTTTTTCGGATAGCGCTGGGTTCACAACGATATGGTAGGCATTCGGTTAAATATCGAGCTTGTTTTCTACCGGATGACAGACATCGACTTTTAGTATCGGCATCGGCTCTCTGGCTCACCGCACCGGCTGTCTCATACTCATGGTGGAATAGTAATAGCAAAGATTACATATGCTAACGCAAAATAACTTTGCGTTAGCATATGTAATCTTTGGTAATAGTAAACTATTGCCTTGGTGCCTTCTGCTGCAGCTGCTCCTATAGCTCCTATGTCTGTCGTCAAACGTCATAATGTGGCCTTGACGACGGAAGGCCATAATTTTATTCACAATATTACAGTGAGAGTGAATGCAAATAAATAAGTACAACATAATATCTGAACCTGGCATAAAATTTGCCAATGAAAATGTTTATTATCCAATTACAGTAAGGCTGATAACCAGCATGATAAATATATAAGAACTTAAATTACGGAGGAATTTTAAAATTAATATTCCAGTAACTTGCGCAATTAACGCCAGATAAATTACCACCCCCTTACTTTTAAAAGCGTTTAGATGACCTTTGCATATTTCCTCCATAATAATGCACTATGCACCATGAAACTGATCAAAAGGAACAATGTTGGAATAAATTTAATCAAATATTTTCCTCTCCTTTTAGGCTAGTGCTAGTAGTTTTTGTAATCTCTTGTCTTCTCTCTTCTGTCTGTCGAGTGTCGGTGTTGGTTGGTTTGGTTTTTTTTTAACAAAGTTTATTTACAATCTGTTTTACATTAAACAATTAATAATTAAATATGATGACATTTTTATTAATAAAATAAAAATTGGAAAACATGCCGAGTTAGCAGCTAAACTGGTTTGTTTACGTTTTGGTTGGTTGGTTGGCGCTATGGAAGCCAATCGATTTACGATATTCGATAGTAGCTGTTTTCATACTACGACGATCGATACTTAACCGTATGCCTACCATATCGTTGTGAACCCAGCGCTATCCTTTTTTTTCAACAACTTTAATGGCCGTGCCAAGAGGTCTCTCCATGAAGCTTTACTGCATATATAAGAAAGTAAGTAAGTAAGTAGTATAAGTAAGAAGTGATTTTAATCATATAATGTTATGTAAGAGTTTGTTTTTCACCTAAGATCAACATTGCCTCATTACTTTTCATAGAGAGAGTGTTCACACCTAAGAGCGATTGAATATATATTCTCTTATATATTGCTTATATTGCCTTAATGATCAGTTTAAAAATTAATTTTAAGGAACTTTTCTGTCCTGTAAGTGTAGTTTAATGGTGTTTAATATTCTTTTTTACAATATTTCACCTAAATACATGGTTTAAAACATAAAATCTGCTTGTAAACGACTGTTTGTCCCCTGGTTTGTATTACACAAAAGTAAAGAGCTTACAGTGACATATTATAGCTAAAAAGGGAGCTGTATGCAGAGTTGTATTTGGTCGATTTGGATATACGATACACGCTGTGCAGTTGGGTTTCTGACCGACTGACTGACTACTTGACTTTGCGTCATTTATACTGAGTAATGAGGATTATGAGATGCTTGATCCAACTGAGCTTCTTAGCCTACGTGAGGTGAGGTCAAGTCTAGTAACGACCTGGGTACCGAACTGAATGATCAGGCCTTAGTCCAACATCCTATCCTTAACAAGGTACTAACCCAGAACTGAGACTGGAAAATCAGCCGCTATGTTCTTAAATTGATTGTCACAGTACAAATATCATTCCAGCAGATGCGGAGGATTTCTGTCCAAACACTGTGATCGTCTTGCCGTTACTATAAGTGGAGAGGAATGTGCTTTTAGTGGGTCGTCTGGCTGGATGGTTAGTGCGAGTCCCACACACTACCCCCAAGGACCGAAGGGCGAGCGTAAATGAACTTTACACCTCCATTCAAAAATGTTTAATAATAGGAAAAGACTGGTCCTATTATTTTTATTTTTGTGTTGCGCTGTCAAAACAATTTTTTTAATCCGCTCTTCTTCATAGACAGGAATAATAAATTGTATTTGATCTTTGATTATGTGTCCATGTTGAAGGAACTACTGTAATTGACAGTTGAAACATTCAAATTGAGACCACGAGGCAGACGTGGTGACTTCCTTGGTCGTGCATGCACTGCAGATAAATACAATTTTGCTTTTAGATTCTCAGTGCTCTAGTCTAAATAGGCACTAAAGGCACTTTGGTCATCAATCTCCTACTTCATTTTAAAAATAGTTGTTTAGCCTCCGGACTACTGTATTATACTTAAAATGGTTTACAATACCTGCATATAGTAATCCTCAGCCCGGTCACGATCGTTTGTCAATGTCCCTTCGTGTTTTTCGTGTTTTTTGTAATGTGTGTCCGTTCCGTGTATCGTGTTTTGTATATGTTTTATTTATTGAACTCTGTTAACGACCTTCGAATGAAGTGATCACTTGACACCTTGAGGCCTGAAGATGGTTCAAAACCAGAACCGAAACTAGTTGCCTAAATCAGCAACAAAGGATTACTATATGCAGGTATTGTAAACCATTTTAAATCTCCTACTATTTATTTCAGTCAGTAAATTTTTACATCTAAAATTGTGTGCTGTACGCCTGTCTACATTACTGGAAACAGAGCCGCAAATATAACTCCAGCATTGACTTCTGGATACTGAATTATTCTTTCACGAATAAAGTAAAATAATTAGAGTCAAATACCTATGAATTGTTTTGGGAAAGTGGTAGGTTATATGAAATTTGTTTAGCCAAGCCTGCTGAAAAGCAAGCAAGAAGCTGATGATGTAGTAGAGCATTTTATGAAATAAGAGTAATGCTTACTCTTTAGCTTCTTTGTAGAGAGATAAAGTGAATTGGATTAAGTTAGTAGATGCACACCCCTTTTCTTAGTGAATGTATAAGAAACGAAAGCCCTAATTTGGTTTGATGAAAACTATTAGGTCGTCCAGTGGTAGAAATTACCTGTACTCGACCAAAAATAATGTAATGTCATAGACTAGGTAGCCGAATGTTTTATCTATGGTAATGCACGGACTTGTATGTATTTTTACCCGTCGCTGTAAATAAAACATGTGTGTGATAATCGTGTAGCAGTCTTACAGTTTTTTTTATTTTACGTTTAAATATCGTTGTTATTTCGTCACCCCATAAGGCAAAATGTTAGTTATTTTAAGGTTGAATTCATTTCTGTGCTTATTTTGAGCCCATTTTAATTTAAAAAAAGGGATTCTGCACATATAGGCCTACAAGAAAATATGTCTCTAACAGTATGCGTATATTTTCCCTGCGATGCACACGAGCTGAGAAAAAAGGTGTTTTTTAAGAAACAAGCTTGCCTATTACTGTAATATAGATTATCGTATTTATTTCAATGTATAAACATGCTTTTGAACATGTTCTTATTTTCAGTAATACCAATGAACACAAAATAGTACTAACGTTGTTATTGTGTTTCAAGTGGATTGTTAATATTGCATAGGTAATAATAAGAATAAGAATATTTTATTGCCATTGACCATGTATGCCTACAGAAGGAATAGGCATTTTCAAGGTACATAAGAATAACAATACATTATTATATTTTATAATAAGAGTATAGAGAGTCATTAATTTGAGACCATGTTTGAAGTCGAGAGCGAGATGTATCGAGCACTTTAAATGGTAGAGAATATGTATAAACCTACTTTCACTCGTGTTTTGAACGTTACTTTTCGTTACACCACAAAGAATAATTATTTTTTTCATTACAAAACTCATAGAATTTTTTAGGTTATGCATTCAATTTAAAGTTAATATTTATTTTAGTTGTTAAAAATTGAAACAGTTCATAAAACAATAATAAATAGGTATTTGAAGTTGTTGACAGTGGAAAATTTTTAGTTGTAAACAATGTTACTTTTGGTAGCAAACAATAGATAGCTGCTGTTGAAAATATGACGTTTCGCAGGTTGTAAACACATAACGAAAACAGCTTAACTCATAGCAGTATAGTGAAAATAAATATATTGTAATGAGTTTACAAGCTGGCGGAAAGTCTGGACTCCGCTATTTTGTATTTTTCCATAAAACATTTATCTTTGAATTGTTCCAACCAATATTTATGAAAATTGGAATGTATTTTTAGGCAGAAGCGACCCATGTGGTAAAAAATATCTTGATCCAAATCAAAATTTCAAATTACGAAAATTGGCTGATACCTTTTTTAAACAACCTCCATACAAAATTTTAATTTAGATTTTAATTAAGTTTTAAATTAGAAAAAAAAATTTCTACCCACTTTTACCACAACATTTTACCAAGTTTCATAAAGGTCGGTTGTAACAGTCCAAAGATAAAAATGTGTACTGCATGTAAAAATACAAAGTGGTGGATATCTGATTTACGAAGTGATTTTTACCAGTTTTATTCTTGTTCTTCTCTTTATTCTGTCCCAATAAATCACTAAGTAAATTATGTCCCTACCTTTTGTGCCCATGTAGCACAGATGGTTGGGCCAACGTTGGCCAACTGTGGGACAGTTGGTCGATGGTTGGTTGGAGCTTCCACAACCAACCAACCGTTGTCCAACTGTATATCTCGTAGTTGGGCCAACCAATATTTACAACTGTGGACCAACATCGGTTCATTGTTAATGAAATACATTAATATGCATTGTTGGGTATCATACATCAAGCCAACCGTTGTCCAACCGTTTTTCACTCCGTTGGACCAACAAAAGATACTTTTGTTGGACCAACAATGGTCCATAGTTGAGTTTACACGACTTTCATTCTCTGGGTCTAGCTTTCACAACATAATTATAATAAAATATCTGGTTTTACAATACCTTTATCAGTTCCAAAAGTTTCCAAAAGTTTTTGGAACTGATAAAGG